AGCAGGGAGCCCGATGCGGGACTCGATCCCGGGACTCCAGGATCATGACCTGAGCCGAAGGTAGTCGCTTAACCAACTGAGCCACCCAGGCGCCCCATGCATGGATTTTAATTTTTAAAAATGTTGCATTAGTAGAATATGATTTATCTTGGCAACCACTTGAAGTGTGGGCTGGAAGCCAGTGCCTTACTCATCTGCCTGTCCCAACCCCATCTTTTCCACCGCCATTCTGCCCCACCCCAGGGCCATGCCAGCCTCCTGGGCTCCCACTACTGCCCCAGACAGAGAGCAGGGTAGAGAGAGCTAGGAAAACAGGCCTTGGGGTGGGGTGGGGGTACAAGGGAAATGCTCAGCACCAAGGTCAGGTGCACAGATTTCTGGATGGAAGGAAAGACAGGGGATCCAGGGCTGGGGATGGGTGGACTCTCACATTGCAGGCGTTGGTCTTGGAGTTGGGGATGCCAGCACACAGCATGGATTTTCCCAGTAGGTCCTTGTAAATCTTCTTGCAATCCTGGGAGGAGATGAGCTTGACATCCGTGCACATGAGCTCTGATGGAAAGGTCACTGGTGGGGAGAGGGGAGGTCAGTCAGAGGCCTGGGCCTGCGGCCCCCTGAGTGCTAATGGAGAGAGGAAGAGCCTTGGACCCTGAAGGAAGAGGGGACTGGAGGCTCAACACTCAAGTCATGAAATGGGGCCTGACTCCTGGTCTCCAGGGTCTGAGGGATGAGTTGGGAGCCAGGGCCCTTGGGTCCCGGAGGCAGCCTCACCATCAGGGCTGGTGGTGGTGCCCCAGCCAGAAACGGTGCATGTGGTCCCAGGGGGTTCACAGCGGGAGGGCAGCTTGACTTTCCTCACACTCGATGATAGCCTGGCTCGTCTACTTAGCTTCACAAGCATGAGGTCATTAACGTGGGTCTGAGTGGAGTACCCAGGGTGGCGGAATGACCTTGTGGCCCGGATCTTCTGAGCTCTGTTATCACCCAGCTGATGACTGCCCATGTGCACGTTGTATTCACTGTGAGAATAGAGTGACATTCAGAAAGAAACACTATGATTGGGAGAAGGGACAGGGACCTCGAGGGAGGGGGACAGAGACCCCGAGAGAGGGCTGCAGTGTCCCTGCCACGTACTTCATCATGCAGTGGGCAGCAGTGAGCACCCACTGTTCATTGAGGAGCACACCTCCACAGTGGAGCTGATTGCCTCTGAGCAGGGCCACCTGCCAGGGTTGGGAGCCTCTTGTACATGGGACTCCATCAATAATCTTCTCCCCACTCTTGTCACCTTGGGTTGGATAGAGACAAGGAAGAAAACATGGGTAGCATGCATTAAGGGGGCTGAAGAAGCAGCCGATGGATCTGGAGAGAAAGATGGAAAGAAACAGAGAGGCATGAGAAATGCAGAGGCAGAAAGAGGGAACAGTACAGAGAAAGCGGACGTGGAGATGGAGAGAGACAGAGGGAGCCTGCTCATAAACCCAGGAGGAACATCTTGTCTGGAGGCAACCACAGAAGCTGATGGGAGCAACACTGAGTGCAGGAGATGGCCCGGAGGGCACAGAGACCCCAGGAGTCAGAAGGAAGCAGGAAGAAAGGGGACAGGAGGTAGAAGAGTCTTGTCTTCCATAGGAGGAAGCTGTAGCAGGGGGAGGGTTCTGACCCAGGAAATCCTTGGAGAGAGGGGGGGTCAGCAGGGACAATGGGAGGCCCCAGGGGTGAGGTCAGACCTCCCAGTCCAGCCCTCACCTTCTTGGCCAGCAGATCCCAGGACTAAGTTCAGTAGTAGGATCTGCAGGGGCAAGAGAAGGGATCCTGCCATGGTGGCCTCTCTCAGCCTCTCCGGGGGCTGCCAGGCAAAGCAAGGGTCTCTTTTGCGGGGGGCTAGGAAGGACAAAGAGTTTCAGGTAGCAGGAGTCCAAGTCCAGCCCCTCCTACATCAGGCCTAGAAGTCCAAATGCCCAGTTCTTCCCCTACTCAGACCCAGGAGGCCAGGCCTCCAGACCTCCCTTCCCCCTGGGGACTCAGGAATCTCAGCAATCTGTCCCATCCCTCCTCATCCGCAAGTCTAGATCTTCAGTTCTTTTTCCCCTAACAGACACCAAATTCCAGACCTCCAGTCCCTCATCTCTCACAACCAGGATTCCAGCCACCCCCCTCCCCTTAGAAGCAGGAGCCAGCTATCCAGCCAGCTTCATCCCCCACCCCAAATGAGGCCCCTTCTCACCGCCCGAGGGTCCGATGTGATCTCGGCTCCAGTCTCAGTTGGGAGCCAAGCGTGTCCAGCCCTGTGCAGGGCGGCCCTCTTATACCATCCCCGTCCCCACGCCCGCCCCAGCGGCCTGGGGTGCAGGCGGAGCCGGCTCTGAGACGCCCCCATCCTGCGTTCGCAGTTATCACGAAGCCCTGAGGCAGCGAAAGTAATTGGCCGCACTCAATTCTTTCTCCACCCTCCTTCTCCAGGCCAGGGTCGGGCGGTACCCAGCTAGTTGGCCCCGCCCATTCGGGCCCTCTGTCCTGGTGGCTGCTACAGATGAGACCTGGTGTTGGCTCTGAGGGGGGCCTCAGGAGGAGGAGCAAGGAACTGCAGAGCTCAGGGAATGTCCTCCTCTGGGGCCATTTTCTTGTCCTCATTCCCTCTCAGGGGTGGCCTACACCTTGTACCCTAATTCAGACCAGCCTGTCGGAATTTGTCCAGGCTGGATCCTGATGGTGTCTTTGAGCCTGAACCCACTCCCAGCCCTGATATAGGGATATGAATTAAAAAGAGAGTGCTTTCCCTAATCCCACCCTACTAAATGTTCACAATTATCAATTTAGTCTGTGTTCTCATATTATACACAGATTGCTGTCGTATTGTGTATTTATAACAAAGAACTCCATACTTAACTATTATGTAATAGAACTTTTTTTCTCTGTAAAATAACTTGAACAATTTTTCTTCTTAGTATATTTAGATAATTTCCTCTTCCTTCCTAAGGATTGCATAGTATCCCATTCTATGGTTGAAACATGATTTATGTAATGTGTTTCAAATTCGTGTATTTTGGATAGTTTTCATTATAATAATGCTGGAATGAACTTCTTTGTACATTTGTCTTTGCTCCTGTGTTTGTTCAAATATTCATGGAGCATCTACTCTGCCAGAAATTCTTCTGCTCCTGGGGCCACAGCAAGCAGTCAACAAAGCAGATAAAAATTCCTTCACAGAGGCTCTCCTACGGTGGAGACCATGAATACAAAAATAAGTACATAAAATATATTGTTTGTTAGGTGGTGGGAAGTGCCATGGAGAAAAACATAAGTGGGAAGAGGGATAGGGAGTTATTGGTTCTCTCCACTCTCAGAGATCCCTGGGGTGATTAATATTTGGAATGATGATTGGAAAGACTCCATGTGAAGGTAACATTGGAGCAAAATCTTGAAGGAGGTAGTGAATCGATCCATGTAACTACTCGTGGGTACTGAGTTCCAGGGAGAGCAAACAGGCAGGTGAATTAGGCAAGGGGTGTGACTAGAATGTTCTAACAGGGAAGACATTTTTGAGTGGAGCTGAATGAGTAAGGGAGACAATGCAGGCCATGAGATCAGAGACATAACAGGACTCAAATGACATAGAGTCTTGAAGACCAATGTAGGACTTCAGCTTTCACTTTGAGTAAGATGGGACATTGTCTGATTATTACTCGAAGGCAAATTCCTAAAAATGGAATTGACCCCAACTTCTAAATCAGATCTCCAAAATGTAATTGGTTCCTTAGCTATCCCAAATCTTATCTCAGTGCTGATCCAAACCCAATTCTACCTCCGTTCCATAATCTGACCCATAATAGGGGCTATTGTTTGCTCCTTCTGCCTTTCTATGAACACCCTAATCTTGCTTGGATAATCTTTTGTCCTTATCATGATGATAAGTTTTACTGCACCAAACATGAAACCCATATTCTGCTTGCCAGTGACTGGTTTAGAAATAGACATGAGAGACAATAAGGCGTGAGAGGAAGATCACTGGGGCACTTCTGGAAAAGACTGTTTTGTTTACAAAAGAGACATCTGAAGAGTTCTCTTTTCTTCTGCCAGATGATGCCCCTGATGTAAATTATGGAACTGTGGCAGCCCTCCAGGAACTATGGAGCAAAGTGGCTGGCAGACCAAGCCGAAACAGTGAAGGTTGCCAAACAGAGAGATGGAGATAATTGGGGTCTTTGGTGAGGTCTCTGAGCTAGTGAATTAACCAACTATGGTGGCTATTCATCCTATGACTTCTTTGGGTTTCCTATCTGATTCGGAGTATTTGGTTCCTAGAGCCAAAATCTTCCTTGCTAAGACCACAAGAGTTAAATTCAAATCTGATCCTAAACCATGAATCCAAACCCAATTCTAACTTAAATCTGTATCTTGAAGCCACAGTAATCAACAAACCACTCCTACCTCCAATCCAACTAGAGAACTACTCCCCCAGCTCCCCACCCACACTGTCTTTCAGATCCAATCCTTTATACACTTAAGAAATACATATTGAGCACCAGCTGTATACCAGGCTGGGCTAGATGCTGAGGATACAATGGTGTGCAAACCCAGACAGAGTCCCTTCTCTAAAGGAGCTGACAGTCTAGGGTAAAAGAAAGATAAATAATTCATAAACAAATGTAAAATTACAAGCATAATGTGTGCTCTTGAGGAAAGGCACAAGGTATTATAAAAACACTTCCTAGGGACTTGGACCCAGGAATTGACAATAGGCTGAGAGTTGAAAGAGCAATAAACATTAACTAGAATAAAATGGGAGCAGACTAGAGAGTATATCATTTAGAGGAAATAGCATGTACAAAGGTCCTGAAATGGGAGTTATGGTTGGAGTTCAGAGACTGAGGGTTGACTGGAACCCAGACGATGAAGAACATATGTCATAGCAAGTTTGACTTTATCCTGTGGATGATGGTGAACCACTTGGACTCTAGTCAGAAAAGTGACATAACAAGATTTGTAACTGCAAAATGTCACTCTACCTGCTATATGAAGGATGGATTTTAAGGGGATTTGGACCCATAAGAAGACCATTGCTATAGTCCAAATGAGAGATGACGGTGACTTAGATAAGGCTATTTAGGAGGTGGAGATGGCAGTAGGTGGATGGATCCAATATGTGCTTAAGAAAGAGAATCAACAGGCCTTGGAGATGGATTAAATGTAGGATGTGGTGAGGGAGTCAGATGTTAAGATTTCAAGGTCTCTTGCTCAATGGATGGTGGTGCCATTCATTGAGAAGCCCTGTTCAGATATGATCAAGTGTTTGTGAGAGGGTGAGAAAGATCTCAGTCTCTGGCTTCAAGCATAATTCTAACTCCAATCTTTACTGTGACACAGTTCTCAACACCAATCATGACACAAGCCCAAGTCTTAACCTGAAACCTCAACTCCTACCCAAACCTAACCCTCAACTCTGCTTTATCCTTATCCAATTCTAACTTATACCTCAACTTGGAATCTAGTTCCTGACCAAGTCCCTGATTCCAAATATCAGCTCGAGCTCCAACTCACACCTCAACCAACCTTAAACTTTGACCCAAAACCTGAATCCCTAAACATAAACCAAACTCAATCTTGACCCAAAACTGAATATCACTATAGCCTCAGTCTCAAGCCTGACCCATGCACAACTCAAACTATAGTGTCCATCCGAGACTATAGTAATATTCCGGAAGCCCACACTGACATCCCTATTAACTCATCCCCAACTCACCCCAATCCTAACACTCTGACTCCAGTTCCAGCTCTATCTCTTTTCCAACCCAATTTCTACCTGAAATTTCATATTCACTTCCGTGTCCGACTCTTTCCCCATCCCATCTTCATTTTCCTAACTCCACACACCACCTTGACCCTTTATTTCACACAAACTCTGAAATAAAGTCTACCAACAGACACCATACTAACATTGACCCCATACTGACTAAATTCAAGCTAAGTCCCCAAACTTTCTGAGACACACTTACTCCCATCAAATCCAAAATGAGACCCCCGAACTCAGACTACTGATCCCACCAATTCCACAGGAGGACCCTGGCCTTGAGGGGTGTCAACCTTCCTGACTTGGGCTCCCCAGTCAAGTAGAGGTAGACCCCAGTCCACTTGACTTCATATCCCCATGAGTCAGTAATCTGTATCTTTCCCTCTCAGCTTCCTAAGGAGAGGAATTTTAGCAAGACTTCCAATTTATCTACTGCCCAAATCTCTATCCCTGGATTCTCTCTTCATTCCCCTGCCTCATCAGCATTCTGTCAGAAAGAGAAAGGGAGCTACACTCCTCTGGAGCCCTGTTGTCCATTCTTACAAACCCAGAACATCTCCTCTGCTGTGCTCTGCATATCTGTCTTTCTGTGTTCTTAATTATTTAATCTGATTTTGTTGCTAAACATGTCTTCATGAGCAGAAGGAACGAGTCGGTGTTCATTGGTGTTTTCTTTAACACCCAGGCCAGACCAGGGAACATGGGAGGTACTTAAATAAATACTAGTTTGCAAACCACTGTCATCCACAGATTTGCCAACCCTAGACTCAGTCTTTCCTTGATCCCTGCGCCAGTCAACCATGGGGTGTGAGCAAAAGAACTTGGCCTCACAAGTCAGACCAAACCAGGTGTGAATCCTAATTGCTTGATTTCAGGTAAGTGACTTAATTTTTCTAAGCTTCACTTTGCCCTTCTTTAAGTGGGGAGTGGGGCACCTGGGTGGCTCAGTTGGTTGGGTGTCTGTCTGCCTTTGGCTCAGGTCATGATCTTGGGGTCCTGGGGGCAAGCCCTGAGTCAGGCTCCCTGCTCAG